CACCCCTTTGTCCCTCTGTCCTCCCACCATGTCCCCGTGTCCCCTCTGTGTCCCCTCCGTGTCACCCCCTTGTCCCTCTGTCCTCCCCCCGTGTCCCTGGGTCCCCTCTGTGTCCCTCTGTGCCCTCCATGTACCTCTCTGCCCTCCGTGTCACCCCTGTGTCACCCCCTTGTCCCTCTGTCCTCCCCCCGTGTCCCTGGGGCCCCTCTGTGTCCCTCTTTGCCCTCCATGTACCTCTCTGCCCTCCGTGTCCCCCCTGTGTCCCCTCCATGTCCCTCTGTCCCCTCCATGTCCCTCTGTCCCCTCCATGTCCCTCTGTCCCCTCCATGTCCCTCTGTCCCCTCCATGTCCCTCTGTCCCCTCCATGTCCCTCTGTCCCCTCCATGTCCCTCTGTCCCCTCCACGTCCCTCTGTGCCCTCCGTGTCACCCCTGTGTCACCCCCTTGTCCCTCTGTCCCTCCGTGTCCCTGTGTCCCCTCCGTGTCCCTCTATCCCCTTGGTGTCACCCCTGTGTCCTCGGGTCCCCTCTGTGTCCCCTCCATGTCCCTCTGTCCCCTCCACGTCCCTCTGTGCCCTCCGTGTCACCCCTGTGTCCCCTCTATGTCCTCGGGTCCCCTCCTTGTCCCCAGGTCCTCTCCGTGTCACCCCCTTGTCCCTCTGTCCCTCCGTGTCCCTGTGTCCCCTCCTTCTGTCCCCCCACGTTCCTGGGTCCCCACCGTGTCACTCCCATGTCCCTCTGTCCCCCCATGTCCCTCTGTCCTCTTCTGTGTCCCCATGTCCCCAATGTCCCTCTGCCCCTTCTGTCCCGCCTCTGTCCCCACCATGTCCCTCTGTCCCCCACCCGTGTCCCTCTGTCCCTTGCTGTGTCCCCATGTCCCTTGTCCCCTCTGTGTCCCCATGTCCTCCCTGTGTCCCTCTGTCCCCCCCATGTCCCTCTGTCCCCTGCTGTGTCCCCATGTCCCCCCCATGTCCCTTGTCCCCTCTGTGTCCCCACATTGGTGACCCTGCAGTGACCCTAAACAGGGGTGACCCTACAATAACATTGGGGTGACCCTATAGTGACCCCATAACCCCATTGGTGACCCTGCAGTGACCCTAAAAAGGGGTGACCCTACAACAACAGGGGTGAGGTGACCCTATAGTGACCCTATAACACAGAGTGACCCTATAACAACATTGGGGACCCTACAGTGACCCCATAACCCCACTGGTGACCCTACAGTGACCCCAAACAGGGGTGACCCTACAATGACAGGGGTGGGGTGACCCTATAACAACATTGGGGACCCTATAGTGACCCTATAACACAGAGTGACCCTATAACAACATTGGGGACCCTATAGTGACCCCATAACCCCACTGGGGACCCTACAGTGACCCTAGACACGGGTGACCCTTCAGTAACAGGGGTGAAGTGACCCTACAGTGACCCTATAACAACACATGTCCCTTGTCCCCTCTGTGTCCCCTCACAGCTGCAGGACCTGGGCCACCCCCCCAAGGAGCTGGCAGGGGACACGGTGAGTGTTTGGGGACACCCCTGAAGGGGTTTGGGGTCACCCAAAGGGTTTGGGGTGGTCCTAAAGAACTGGGGGGACCCCAGAGGATTTGGGGTGACCTCAGGGGATTGGGGAGATCCCGATAAAATTGGGGTGACCTCACAGATTTGGGGTGACCCCATAGAACTGCAGTGACCCCATAGAATTGGGGTGACCTCATAAAGTTTGGGGTAATCCTGTAGATTTGAGGTGACGGGGACCCTACAGGGATGGGGGAACCCTACAGGGACATTGTGGGGACATTGGGGACCCTGCAGGGGTGGGGGGGCCCTATAGGGACACTGGGGGGGCAGAGTGACCCCAAACAGGAGCTTGACCCTACAACAACACTGGGGGTGACCCTACAACAACACTGGGGGTGACCCTACAACAACACTGGGGACCTTACAGTGACATCGGTGACCCTGAACAGGGGTGACCCTACAACAACACAGGGCTGACCCTATAACAACATTGGGGACCCTACAGTGACCCTAAAAACAGGGGTGACCCTACAGTAACAGTGAGGTGACCCTGCAGTGACCCCATAACCCCTTGGTGACCCTATAACCACACTGGGGACCCTGCAGTGACCCCAAACACGGGGTGACCCTACAATGACAGGCGTGGGGTGACCCTATAAGTGACCCTATAACACAGAGTGACCCTATAACCCCTTGGTGACCCTGTAACCACACTGGGGACCCTACAGTGACCCCAAACAGGGGTGACCCTTCAGTAACAGGGGTGAGGTGACCCTACAGTGACCCTATAACAACATTGGGGACCCTATAACCCCACTGGTGACCCTGCAGTGACCCTGAACAGGGGTGACCCTACAGTAACGGGCTCGGGCCTGCCCCGGCCCCGGGCCGGGATCCCGGGGGGGGCTGTGGGGGCACCCCGAGAGTTCGGGGAGGGTCTGGGGGAGCCTCTGAGGGAGCCCGGGGGGGTTTGGGGGCGCCCTGAGGGGTCCCGGGGGGGCCCTTAGGGGGGTCCTTGGGGTTTTTGGGGGTCCCTGGGGGTTTTGGGGGGTCCCTGAGCCTTTGGGGGATCCCTTAGAGGGGTCCTTGAGGTTTTTGGGGTGTCCTGGGGGGTTCCTTGGAGGTTTTGGGGGACCCTTGAGGTTTTTGGGGGTGATTTTTGGGGGGACCTTGCGATTTTGGGGGTGTTTTGGGGGGTCCTTGAGATTTTTGGGGGGGTCCCTGAGCTTTTGGGGGGCCCCTTAGGGAGATCCTTGGTGTTTTGGGGGGATCTTTGGGGGTTTTGGGGGATCCTTGAAGCTTTTTTTTGGGGTGGGGGGGATCCCTGAGGTTTTTGGGGTCTGGGAATTTTTGGGGTGACCCCCAAAGTTTTGGGAGGGGTCGCTGAATATTTTTGGGGTCCCCTGAGATTGGTGGGGGGAGGGGGGAATCTGGGAAAAGTCCTGGAGTTTTTGGGGGGAATCCCTGAATTTTTGGGGTCCCCAAAGATTGGAAGGTCCCCAAAAATTTGGGAATCCCCAAAAATTTGGGGTCCTCAGGGACGGAGGGAATTTTTTTTGGGGATTTTGGGGGGAGGGGGTTCCCCAAAATTTGGGAATTCCCAAGGATCGGGGGGGTCCCCAAGTATTGGGAAAGGTCCCCAAAATTTGGGGTTTTCCAGGATTTGGGGAATTCCCAAAAATCCAGAGGGGGTCTCCAGGGATTGGGGGGGGTCCCCAAAATTGGGGGGTCCCCAAAATTGGGGGTCCCTGACCTTTGACCCCGCGCTCCCCCCAGCTCCAGCCCCGCTGTCCCCGGCACCTGGCCCAGGTGAGTGCACCCCAATCCTGGGGGGATCTGGGGTTTTGGGGGGAGTTTGGGATTGCTCCAGGATTTGGGAAACTTCTGGGAATGCTCCTGGGATCCGTCCTGAGGGATTTGGGGATTTCATCCTAAAGGATTTGGGGGATCCATTTAGGAGGATTTGGGGTTGCCCGGTTTCTCCCACTTTTTCTCCCAGTTTATCCCATTTTTTATCCCAGTTCCTCCCAGTTTATCCCATTTTTTATCCCAGTTCCTCCCAGTTTATCCCATTTTTTATCCCAGTTCCTCCCAGTTTATCCCATTTTTTATCCCAGTTCCTCCCAGTTTATCCCAGTTTCTCCCACTTTTCCTCCCAGTTTATCCCATTTTTTATCCCAGTTCCTCCCAGTTTATCCCATTTTTTATCCCAGTTCCTCCCAGTTTATCCCATTTTTTATCCCAGTTCCTCCCAGTTTATCCCATTTTTTATCCCAGTTCCTCCCAGTTTATCCCATTTTTTATCCCAGTTCCTCCCAGTTTATCCCATTTTTTATCCCAGTTCCTCCCAGTTTATCCCATTTTTTATCCCAGTTCCTCCCAGTTTATCCCATTTTTTATCCCAGTTCCTCCCAGTTTATCCCATTTTTTATCCCAGTTCCTCCCAGTTTATCCCATTTTTTATCCCAGTTCCTCCCAGTTTATCCCATTTTTTATCCCAGTTCCTCCCAGTTTATCCCATTTTTTATCCCAGTTCCTCCCAGTTTATCCCATTTTTTATCCCAGTTCCTCCCAGTTTATCCCATTTTTTATCCCAGTTCCTCCCAGTTTATCCCATTTTTTATCCCAGTTCCTCCCAGTTTATCCCATTTTTTATCCCAGTTCCTCCCAGTTTATCCCATTTTTTATCCCAGTTCCTCCCAGTTTATCCCATTTTTTATCCCAGTTCCTCCCAGTTTATCCCATTTTTTATCCCAGTTCCTCCCAGTTTATCCCATTTTTTATCCCAGTTCCTCCCAGTTTATCCCATTTTTTATCCCAGTTCCTCCCAGTTTATCCCATTTTTTATGGGTCCTGGGGGTTTTTGGGGGTCCCTGGGGGTTTTGGGGGGTCCCTGAGCCTTTGGGGGATCCCTTAGAGGGGTCCTTGAGGTTTTTGGGGTGTCCTGGGGGGTTCCTTGGAGGTTTTGGGGGACCCTTGAGGTTTTTGGGGGTGATTTTTGGGGGGACCTTGCGATTTTGGGGGTGTTTTGGGGGGTCCTTGAGATTTTTGGGGGGGTCCCTGAGCTTTTGGGGGGCCCCTTAGGGAGATCCTTGGTGTTTTGGGGGGATCTTTGGGGGTTTTGGGGGATCCTTGAAGCTTTTTTTTGGGGTGGGGGGGATCCCTGAGGTTTTTGGGGTCTGGGAATTTTTGGGGTGACCCCCAAAGTTTTGGGAGGGGTCGCTGAATATTTTTGGGGTCCCCTGAGATTGGTGGGGGGAGGGGGGAATCTGGGAAAAGTCCTGGAGTTTTTGGGGGGAATCCCTGAATTTTTGGGGTCCCCAAAGATTGGAGGGTCCCCAAAAATTTGGGAATCCCCAAAAATTTGGGGTCCTCAGGGACGGAGGGAATTTTTTGGGGGGATTTTGGGGGGAGGGGGTTCCCCAAAATTTGGGAATTCCCAAGGATCGGGGGGGTCCCCAAGTATTGGGAAAGGTCCCCAAAATTTGGGGTTTTCCAGGATTTGGGGAATTCCCAAAAATCCAGAGGGGGTCTCCAGGGATTGGGGGGGGTCCCCAAAATTGGGGGGTCCCCAAAATTGGGGGTCCCTGACCTTTGACCCCGCGCTCCCCCCAGCTCCAGCCCCGCTGTCCCCGGCACCTGGCCCAGGTGAGTGCACCCCAATCCTGGGGGGATTCTGGGGGGATCTGGGGTTTTGGGGGGAGTTTGGGATTGCTCCAGGATTTGGGAAACTTCTGGGAATGCTCCTGGGATCCGTCCCGAGGGATTTGGGGATTTCATCCTAAAGGATTTGGGTTCCATCCCTGAGGATTTGGGGATTTAATCTTGAGGGGTTTGGGGGATCCATCCTGAGGGATTTGGGGGATCCGTCCTGAGGGATTTGGGGATTTCATCCTAAAGGATTTGGGTTCCATTCCTGAGGATTTGGGGGCTCCATCCTGAGGGATTTGGGGGATCCACCCCAAAGGATTTGGGGATTTCATCCTAAAGGATTTGGGGGATCCATTTAGGAGGATTTGGGGTTGCCCGGTTTCTCCCACTTTTTCTCCCAGTTTATCCCACTTTCTCCCAGTTTTTATCCCAGTTTGTCCCAGTTTCTCTCCCAGTTTCTCTCCCAGTTTCCCCCAGTTTCTCCCACTTTATCCCATTTTTTATCCCAGTTCCTCCCAGTTTATCCCATTTTTTATCCCAGTTCCTCCCAGTTTATCCCAGTTTCTCCCACTTTATCCCAGTTTTTATCCCATTTTCTCCTCCCAGTTCCTCCCAGTTTATCCCATTTTTTATCCCAGTTCCTCCCAGTTTATCCCAGTTTCTCTCCCAGTTTCTCCCACTTTCTCCCAGTTTTTATCCCAGTTCCTCCCAGTTTATCCCACTTTATCCCATTTTTTAATCCCAGTTCCTCCCAGTCTCTCCCAGTTTGGGCCAGCAGGAGCCTGGGCAGGGCAGATCTGCCTCCAGAGGCTCTGGAATGCCCCAGGATGTTTTTTTTGGGATATTTTTGGGAGCAGCAGCGTCAGCCTGAGCCTGTCCAGATGCGCCCAGGCAGCCGCGGAATCCCGGGATTTCGGGAGAATTCCCACATTTCCCACCCCCCTCTGGATCAGGAGGGGATCCCAGCCCTGGGGGCTCCTTCCTGATCCCTCCCCTGGCAGGGGGAGCAGAAAATTCCCGGGATTGGAGGCAAAAATTCCCGGGTTTGGAGGGGGGGGGCGGAATTCCAGTGCTGGCCCTTGGGGTTGTTTGGGATTCCGGCAGAATTCCAGGGAATTCCGTGGAATTCCAGGGCTCTGCTCCTGCCCTTTCCCATGGAAATGGGATTTTTGGGAGGCTGGGGGGCCGGCAGTGCTCTCCTGGGGAGATTCCAGGGGGAGTTTTTGGTGGGAATGTGTTTAAAGACGGATCTTTAGAATCCCAGATTTCTCAGGGTTGGATTTTCCTGGGATGCTGAGCAGGGTTTGGGTGTCCTGCAGCATTCCCAGGTTCTTTTTTCCATGGAAAATGGGAATTTTGGGAACAGCCAAGCCAGGTTTGGGTGTCCTGCAGCATTCCCAGGTTCTTTTTTCCATGGAAAATGGGAATTTTGGTGTCCCAATGTCCCCCTGTCCCCAATGTCCCCATTGTCCCAATGTCCCCCTGTCCCCATGTCCCCCTGTCCCCAATGTCCCCATTGTCCCTAATGTCCCCCTGTTCCCATGTCCCCATGTCCCCCTGCCCCCATGTCCCCATTGTCCCAATGTCCCCATTGTCCCTCTGTCCCCGTGTCCCCGCAGGGATTCCCGTGGGAAGCGGCGATGTCGGACAAGGGCGGCAGCATGGACGGCAGGACGGACATTGTCAACGGTGAGGGGACAGCTGGGGACAGCCAGGGGACAGCTGGGGTGGCGGTGGAGCTGGCAGGGTGACAGTGACAGGGTGGCAGCAGTGATGGCAGCGATGGTGACAAGGCAACGGTGACAGCGAGGGTGGCAGCAGAGGTGACAGTGAGGCTGCCAGGGTGGCTGTGATGGTGACAAAGTGGCCGTGGTGGTGACAGCGATGGTGCCTGGGTGTCAGTGCAGGTGCCAGCCATGGTGCCACCACGCTGTCCCCCTGGTGGTGGCAGTGTCACCTGTCCCCGCCCCCAGGCAGTGACACTGTCCATCCTCGTCCCCCTGCAGCCTGTCCAGCAGTGGTGACACCGGTGACAGTGTAGTGTCCCTGTCCCCAGGCAGCCTGTTGAGCTGTCCCCATGGCAGTGTGACACCGGTGACACTGCTGTCCCCATGGTGGCACTGCGATGTCCCTGTTCCCAGGCAGAATGGTGACACTGGTGGCACTGTGCTGTCCCCGTGGTGACACCCTGATGTCCCCGTGTCCCCAGGCAGCCTGTTGAGCTGTCCCCATGGCAGTGTGACACTGCAGTGTCCCCTGTTCCCAGGCAGTATGGTGACACATGGTGACACTGTCCCCATGTCCCCGTGTCCCCAGGCAGCCTGTCGAGCAGCCCCGAGGACATGTCAGCCGAGGAGGGCCGGTGTCACTGCAATGTCCCCATGTCCCCATGGCAGTGTGACACTGGTGGTACACAGGTGACACTGGTGGCACTGTGCTGTCCCCGTGGTGACACCCTGCTGTCCCCATGTCCCCAGGCAGCCTGTCGAGCAGCCCCGAGGACATGTCAGCCGAGGAGGGCCGCGAGACGTCCTCGGGGATCGAGGTGGAGGCGTCCGACCTGAGCCTGAGCCTGACGGGCGACGACGCCGGGGCCGCGCGCGGCCGCGCCAGCGACAGCGACAGCTCCGGGGACAAGGACAGCGACAGCATGGACGACACCGGCCACTACTCCATCCCCGAGGAGCCGCGGCACGACGAGGACGAGGAGGAGGAGGAGGAGGAAGAGGAGGAGCCGCGCGCCCGGCGCAGGGCGCCCCGCAAGCGGCCGCCCCACGAGCGCGACTCGTCCGACGAGGAGCAGGCGCTGGAGGACTGGGTGGCTGCTGCTTCTTCACTTGGCACGGGGCTGGGGGGGAAAGAGGTGGTGAAAGAGGTTTTAAATCAGGTTTTAAATCAGGTTTTAAATCGGGTTTTAAATGGGGTTTTAAATCAGGTTTTAACTGAGGTTTTAAAAGTGTAAAACGGAGAAAGTTTTCACACTTGATTGTGGAAAGTCACCCTACAATGACATTGGGGTGACCCTACAGTGACCCTAAACGTTGGGGTGACCCTACAGTAACATTGCTTTTCTCTAAAAATTGAGAAAGTTTTCACACTTGACAGTGGGGGGTCACCCTACAATGTCATTGGGTGACCCTAAACACGGGTGACCCTACAATGACATTGGGGTGACCCTAAACACGGGTGACCCTACAATGACATTGGGGTCACCCTACAACAACGCTTTTCTCTGTAAAAACAGAACACTTCCCCACTTTATTACTCAACAAGCAGCCAGAACGTCCCGCTTACCAGCAGCTAACCCAGTCACAACTAACCAGCCGTGCCGAGGCAGCCCCGTAAAGCTGAGCCTGTGTCCCCCAGGTGGCCTCGGAGACGTGGGCGCTGCCGCGGCCGCGCTGGCGCGCCATCCCGGCGCTGCGGCAGCGCCAGCTGGGCGGCTGCTCGCGCTTCGTGGCGCAGGCCTGCGGCGCCCGGCTCTTCGTGCAGAAGTTCCGGCTGCAGCACGGCCTGGAGGGGCACACGGGCTGCGTCAACACGCTGCACTTCAACCAGCGCGGCACGCGCCTGGCCAGCGGCAGCGACGACCTCAAGGTGCTGGTGTGGGACTGGCTGCGGCGCCGGCCCGTGCTGCAGTTCGACAGCGGGCACAAGAGCAACGTCTTCCAGGTGGGCGTGGTGGACTTCTGGGGTGGGCATGGTGGGCTTTTGGTGGGTTTTTGGGGTGGGAGCACAAAGGACTGGCTGTGGCACTGGCCTGTGCTGCAGTTCGACAGTGGGCACAAGAGCAACGTCTTCCAGGTGGGCGTGGTGGGCTTTTGGTGGGCTTTTGGGCTGGGTGTGGTGGGCTTTTGGGGTGGGCATGGTGGGCTTTTGGTGGGTTTTTGGGGTGGGAGCACAAAGGACTGGCTGTGGCACTGGCCTGTGCTGCAGTTCGACAGTGGGCACAAGAGCAACGTCTTCCAGGTGGGCATGGTGGGCTTCTGGTGTGGGTGTGGTGGGCTTTTGGTGGGCTTTTGGGGTGGGCATGGTGGGCTTCTGGGGTGGACATCGTGGGTTTTTGGGGTGGGCGTCGTGGGTTTTTTGGTGGGCTTTTGGTGGGTTTTTGGGGTGGGCATCGTGGGCTTTTGGGGTGGGCTTCTGGTGGGTTTTTGGGGTGGGCATGGTGGGCTTCTGGGGTGGACATCGTGGGTTTTTGGGGTGGGCGTCGTGGGTTTTTTGGTGGGTTTTTGGGGTGGTGGCACAAAGGACTGGCTGCGGCGCCGGCCCGTGCTGCAGTTCGACAACGGGCACAAGAGCAACGTCTTCCAGGTGGGCGTGGTGGGCTTTTGGGGTGGGTGTGGTGGGCTTTTGGTGGGTTTTTGGGGTGGGCTTTTGGTGGGTTTTTGGGGTGGGCATCGTGGGCTTTTGGGGTGGGCTTCTGGTGGGTTTTTGGGGTGGGCATGGTGGGCTTCTGGGGGGGGCATCGTGGGTTTTTGGTGGGCTTTTGGTGGGTTTTTGGGGTGGGCATCGTGGGCTTTTGGGGTGGGCTTCTGGTGGGTTTTTGGGGTGGGCATGGTGGGCTTCTGGGGTGGACATCGTGGGTTTTTGGGGTGGGCGTCGTGGGTTTTTTGGTGGGTTTTTGGGGTGGTGGCACAAAGGACTGGCTGCGGCGCCGGCCCGTGCTGCAGTTCGACAACGGGCACAAGAGCAACGTCTTCCAGGTGGGCGTGGTGGGCTTTTGGGGTGGGTGTGGTGGGCTTTTGGTGGGCTTTTGGGGTGGGCATGGTGGGCTTTTGGGGTGGGCATGGTGGGCTTTTGGGGATGTGTTGGCTGCATGGGTTTGCCAAAGTTTGTGGGGGATTTTTGAGGTGCTTTCAAAAATTCATCGTTCTAAGGGTCCCTGTTTGGGGTGGGAGAGGGTCCCAGGAAAATGTCTCCTGGGCCAGGGGATGCTTGGGAAAGGGTCTGGGAACAGGTCACCAAATTCCAGAGACTGACACCCCAATTCCTGGGAGATTTTGGGATGATTCCCAGGGGACAGTTTGGGATGATTCCTGAGGGAACTTAGGAGGATTCCTGGGAGATTTTGGGATGATTCCCAGGGGAGACTTTGGGATGATTCCCA